ACTATACTATGACGGTGAGCCCGTGGGTCGTACGATGATTGATCTCTTGCTGTACGACAAACACTACATGTGGATTAAAAAGATGAGTTCGCTTCTCACCGGTTACAGCAAGCACAACGGGAAAAAGCATTTGTGTCGTCGATGCATGCACGTTTTTAGCACGGAAGCACGCCTGTTAAAACACGTGCCCGATTGCAGGGTCTTAAACGACGGTAAAACGGCGGTGCAAGTCGTCGATGAAAAAGACAAGTTGTTGAAATTTAAAAACGTACAACACAGATGTAAGACGCCGTTTGTAATCTATGCAGATTTCGAGTGCATCTTGGAAAAGATGCCGGCAGACGCCGACTCGAAAACGTTTAAAACCAACAAGCACGTGCCGTGCGGTTGGTCGTACGTGGTGGTAAGGTACGACGGCCAAGCGGTCGGACACGGATTGCACAGCGCCAATGCCGAAAATGCGAGCACGTGCGTAAAATCCTTTTTGGAACGACTCGTGATCGAAAAGGATAAAATTGTCGACATTTTCAAGCGAAAACCCGTCGACCCCCGCAGCGTGATGACGAGCGAGGACGAAGCAGACTTTGAAGCCGCAACGACCTGTTGGATCTGCGAGCGAGGCGGTTTTACGGAATATAGCGGGGTCGGCGACTGTCGGAAATGCGTCGCGGTCAAGGCCAACCCCAACAACAATTACAAGACGTGTTACGAGTGTTGTAGGAAAAAGAACGGCCAAAAGGTGCGAGATCACTGTCACGTTACCAACGCGTATCGTGGAGCGGCTCACGCGGGTTGCAATCTCAAGTTGCGGTTAAACGAGAATACGCCCGTACCCGTGATATTCCACAATCTGGCCGGGTACGACGGGCACTTGATCATGCAGGCCCTCGGAGAGATGCCGGGGAAGCTTGTTTGCATCCCGAGCAATACGGAAAAGTACATTTCATTTAGCTTGGGTAACCTGAGATTCATCGATTCGATGAAATTTCTAAACGCCTCATTGTCGACACTGGTGAGTAAGCTTCCGATCGACGAGTTTAAGCTCACCGAGGCGTTTTACGGCGACGACCTGCATCTGGTCGCGAGAAAGGGCGTGTATCCGTACGAATACATGGATTCGTTTGACAAGTTTCGAGAGGAGGGTTTACCCGCCAAGGAGCTATTTTACAGCAGCCTGCGCAACGAGGGCGTGAGCGACGACGACTACGAGCATGCCGCGAGGGTTTACGAGCACTTTAAATGTAAAAACTTGGGCGACTATCACGACCTCTACCTCAAGACGGACGTTTTGCTGTTGGCCGACGTGTTCCAAAACTTTAGAGCCACGGCGTATCGAGTGTACGGATTGGATCCGTGCAACTATTTCACGCTGCCTGGTTTCAGCTGGGACGCGCTGCTCAGCAAGACTGGGGTGGAGCTCGAGCTGATGACAGACTTGGACATGCACATGATGTTTGAAAAGGGAATCAGAGGTGGCATCAGCATGGTTTCCCATCGATACTGCAAGTTTAACAACAAGTACATGGACGACTACGACGAGAAGAAACCCAGCACGTACGGACTAGATCTCGATGAAAACAATCTGTACGGGTGGGCCATGAGTCAGCCGTTACCAGTATCGGATTTTAGGTGGATCGATCCGGACGAGTACGAGACGGTCCTCGAGGCAAAAGTCGACGGTAACAAGGGTTACATTCTCGAGGTGGACCTGGAGGTGCCGAAAGAACTGCACGATCTGTTTAACGACTATCCCCTGGCCCCCGAGACGCTCGTGCCTCGTCGCGAGTGGATGAGCCCCTACCAGCTCGATCTGCTGGGTGACGAAATTCCGAGGGTCGAGAAACTCGTACCGAACCTGATGCCCAAGACCGAATACGTCGTGCACTATAGAAACTTGCAGTTTTATCTTGCCAAGGGCCTCGTGCTGACCAAGGTTCATCGCATCGTCGAGTTTACGCAGAGGTCGTGGATGAAGGAATACATCGCCATGAATACCGAGCTTAGAAAGGCGGCAAAAACCGACTTTGAAAAGGACTTTTTCAAGCTAATGAACAATTCCGTTTTCGGCAAGACTATGGAAAATGTTCGCAACAGGCAAACTGTTCATTTGTGCAAAACCAGCGAAACTCGTAAAAAAACCAAGCTCTTTTCGCAACCAAACTTTAACAGCTTTGTCGATATCAACGATGACCTCGTTGCCATCCACATGAACAAGACGCGGATCTTGCTCAACAAACCCATCTATTGCGGTACGACCGTCTTGGATCTGAGCAAGCTTTTAATGTACGAGTTTTGGTACGACAAGCTCGTACCCGCGTACGGCGATCGCGTCAAGCTCTTGTACACAGACACTGATAGCATGTTTCTCAAGATCACCACCGAGGATGTTTACGCCGACATGCAAGAGAATTTAGATTGGTTCGACACGAGCAACTACGACAAGGACAGCCGTTTGTACAGCGAGAAAAATAAAAAGGTTTTAGGAAAGATGAAGGACGAATTGGGTGGACGCATCATGACGGAATTTGTTGGACTCAGACCGAAAATGTATTCAATCAAGACGCAAGACCCGAGGCTGGATGTCAAGCGGGCAAAGGGAGTTGCCAAATACGTCGTAAGGGACCGTTTAAATCACGATGATTACGTGCGAGTGTTGACAAGCAGAGAGGATATGCATTGTGAAATGAGTTCGATTCGAAGCAGCAAGCATGTGCTTTACACGATCAATCAGTCTAAAAAGTCGCTATCCCCTTTGGACACTAAACGGTATATACTCGACGACGGAATCACTACCTACGCGTACGGGGATTACAAGATAGAGCAAGTTCGAGTCTAGATTACGTAATTACGTGAATGATTGTGGAAATGAACTTTTGTGATGACGTCAACGGAGATGATGACGTCATCGGGGTCACGTGATGATTAATGACGTCATCGGGGTCACGTGATGATTAATGACGTCATCGGGGTCACGTGATGATTAATGACGTCATCGGGGTCACGTGATGATTAATGACGTCATCGGGTCAAATGATGTTAAGAGATATTTCCTGGACCGTGATTTTTTTTTAACCATGTAAATGCCTATGGGCCAGCTCTCTCCTTTACCATCTACTAATGTACATATACAGTGTTTAATAAGGACATGATGGAACATCGTAGGCTACCCTGTAGCATTTAAACAAATAAAGTTCTATAAAAAGTCATTGCGGGACAAGGCGAACGTCATAACCACTAGACCACAAAGGCTTCATAGTTGAACAGGTCCAAATAACCGTCGGGAACATTGTATTACACAATGGTACGCCTCAAGATTTTATTACACAATGACTTTTTATAGGACTTTATTCGTTGAAAAGCTACAGGTTAGCCTACGATGTTCCATCATGCCCTTATTAAACACTGTATATGTATATACCTTTGATGATATATACTATAATTATTTATTCAACAGTGTTAACGGCTAACTTCTTTCAATATCAGTAATTGGTGTAAGTGGTGTCAAGACGATCAGACCCCTCTTGAAGGTGGTCTTTCATTGGATGGGTCTTTGAAGGAGACCTGTGCCTACTTATTATATACAATATAATACGGTACTGCTTAACAGTAATGAAAACTCAGCCACGTAAAAATAAATTGACTTTAGAAACACTAACATTTTATTCCAACGAATATTTCGACAAGGCCTACTCCTGCTGTATTTGTCAACGCTTGACATGATAATGTCGAAACACACGTGGACACGTCTTCATCATATATCTTCATATATCTGATAATGAACACTTTCGTCGAAGGACGACCATTATAACATCATAGTATTCTCTTCGTTCATTGTTTGTTCTTTTCCTCTTTTTTATCTTTCGTTGGGAGTAGGCCTACTTGCATTGTAATTTTGAGGCAGCGGCACCGCGATCATGCGCCATATAAATCTCCGATTGATTGATTGATGATGATGATGATGATGAACAGTGTTCCTATTGAGCAATGTTTTATCATTCATTTGTTTATATAAATTTACAATATGTCTCAGTGGATATACGGTATTTGGTTTCTTCTATCAAGAGTTGATGTACAGATAAAAATAATACTAAGAGTGATGAAAAAAGAAAACATGGAAAGAGATTTACCGGTACCGTACTCGCGCGAATAAGCGCCCCGTTTGAATAAACACCCCTCTAGAATAAGCGTCCCTCCTAATATGAAAATAGTCTTAAGCGCAGAGTTTAAATAAGCACACCTCCTAATTTGAATAAGCGACCCTTGGTGTTTATTCATTTTTTAAAACAATGTTCTGTGATTGATTTTTTAAGCAAATGATAACTAACTAATCCCGAGACTAAGTTGGCATGGCTTGAGCTGCGAATTAGATTCACATTTTCTTATGTCAATTTCAAAATGAGGATTTTCTCCTGGACAAATGAGCTCCCTGGACAGTATCTTTCCAACTTTCCTTTTCTTACATTTGTCTACTTCTCATTTTTCTTTTCCCGACGATTTACGTTTTCATGTGAGTTTGCAAGACTTAAGCCCTGCAATGAACCTGCTAATCTCAATCGACAGATGGCCAACAAGCGTATACACCACCACCACCACCACCACCACCACCACCACTAGTTTCATCGGCTGTTGCAACTCACAGCATCCTTGTCACGAGCCATGCTCTCTGGACGGTTACCTTTTCTGCACCAGAACCATTCGTAATCTTCGGTTTCCAGATGTCCTTATCTTTTTGTCATTCAAAAAGCGCCCATTGAAATTTCCAAGTTCACAGGAGAACCCCTCAATTTTCATATATTTCAATAAGCGTTTTCATAAGCGCCCCGTTTAAATAAGCGCCTCGTTTGAATAAGCGCCCCTTAAAAAGTGCAAACAAATATTTTAAGCGCCCGGGTGCCTATTCGCGCGAGTACGGTAACCGTTTTTGAAAGGTACCATTGGTAATATCTATATTCTATAGAAACAAAACATTGTAAAATATAACAATGAACAAAGACAAGTTATTAGGTTGACAAAACCTGAATTACTAATGCGGCACAAAATATTACCGGTACAATCCAAAATTCTAATTGAAACGAAAGTCTTAAAACACTTATTAAAATACTTATATGTAATATTATATGTTTTAAAACTTTTACCTTTGTTTTCGTTTTATTTTTTTCTTTTCACTTACTACTTATATTGCTAAACATTTTTGCTCAATTTCTACATATATTTTTTAATTGGTTCTTGTTTTAAATACTTTAGGTTTTAGGTAAAGTGTTATCTAATGTTTACATATTGTAAAAATTGCAATTTCTTGTAAATCAGCAATGTTGCTGCTATAGAGAAGTTGAATATAATTAATTTGAATTTTAAAATATTCATTATAGATATCAGAGTACCATACGTTGTATTGATATGTGTGGTAACTTGTTCGTTGTAAAAGGGCAGTAAGCAAAGCCAAATGAGCACGTATGACCACTGTAGTTGAAGACAGGCTTTCGTGTACGCAATACAATTCTTTAGGTGAATGTAATGTTCACACGAAATCCTGATTCATCTATTCTCTAAGTACTTTTCCTTTAATTACTGATTATTGTAACTTAAGGCTCACCCTATTATTTGAGGTCCAGTGGAATTGGGGAATTGTTTGTTTTAGGAGATTTTGGGAGATCAATAATTTCTTTTTCCCCTCGGTGGAGGCCGGCCCAGGGCCCCTCCTTAAATCCCCCACCCCCTGGAGCGTACATCCTTGGTTAGGTTGTTGCTTAACTCTTTCTGCAGCATTTACGTGTACATGAAGTCGAACGTCACTACAGAAGTTGATATTGAGGGCAGGTACCATATTAGAACACAATTACATTATGTAATATGCAGCAACACTGATTTTATTGGTTACATTTATTGTGTGCGCTTAGCTCACAATATCTCCAAATTGTGATGGCCTATATCATTTATTTAAAACAAATCCCTTGTCTGGATTAGATCTCCGATATACCATGGATATACCAATGAAAAATAACCAGTTATTATTTAATGGTTGCAACAACAGCAGCTTCAAACTTCGTATCGTACTTGTGTCCAGTCTTTACTAATTATATAAGTATAGCCAAAGGCATATATATATATATATATATATATATATATATATATCGAACATTTAAAAAATGAATATTATGCGAGTGTTAAGGACTTGGCCAGAATAAAGGCCCTAAACTACAAACATATCCTAAATAGACAGAAACAGAGGAGCAATAACATTTAATTTATTCTTCTGTCAATTTAGTTGTATCCATCTCCATATTTTGACCTTCCATCAGAGACTCTTCGTATTTTGCTGTTCTGTAAATAAGTAAGCCAACACAAAATGAGCATATTCTGAAAAAAGAAATCCATAAATTTTGTTTTAATACCTTCTATTTATAAAATTATGCTCACTCGCCAAGACTATCACGTGGTCTTGATAGTGGGCCTTTGCGGCTCCGGTTCTTGGCGAACAAAGTCTTTCGTTTAGTCTTGAAAACCTGAAAATAAAGGTTGAAATTACGAGAATCATCTATATTACATGACAAGTGCCGATTTGCGATA